CTCATTCTGGGCATTCCCTCGTCGTCACATGGGTGGAAACCCATGTTCTTCATGATCCGCGGGCCTTTCAACTTTCATCCTAATAACCGCCGGCCCCGCCGAAGGCAGGTGCAGGCGGCGTTTGGAAATATGAGTAAGCATCTTGACTTTCTTTTTATCTGACTTTGCTCTTTTTCATATGTTAACGAGGATTCCCTTGTCCTGCAGTTAATCAGGATCGGCCGAAGTTCTCCAGTAATAGTTTGGCGAGGGTCGAGCAGGCTTTTTCCTATCCATCAGAGGTTCGCCATATTGAGACGCTTCTGACCAAGGAGAATCTTCGCGCTACCGGCCTAATCCTAAATCTCCCTAATCCTTCAGATTTAGACGCCGTCCGCGCGTACTTTCATTTAAGCGACGAAGGTAATTACTTCTCTCGGCGCCTTCTAAAATCATCGTTTGTGTTTTCCTAATGTTGATCATGTCCTCTTTTCGTCGCTAGAGATGGCGTCGTTGAGGATTCAGCTACCTGGGAGCCAATGGTCGAGGCCGAGCCAACAGCCCCCCTCTGATTCGCAGTCCCCGCCGAGCCAACAGCCCTCGTCAAAGTAAAAAGAGAAAGCCAGCTCTTCTTCTCCTGCGTCGAAGGGCAAGAAGGTCAAGGGTCCTTCGGCACCGGGGGGCAGGCATGCTCACAAGAAGAGGCGCACCGATAAGAGTCGACCACTGACCAGGCGTCGACTGACAAGGCGTGGACACCGGTGGTGCTCATCCCTAATGTTAGCGCTCCCCCGGCGCCGAGAGAACGCGTGCTGATCCCGGGGGGAAAGATAATGGATGGGAATTTTCAGGTCTCGGATATTTCTGATGCCGAGGTTGGGGCGATGCTAAAACTTCCCCCTCGTTTCTCTCTCATCTTCCAGGCTCTTTATGAGTCTTTCCTCGAGCCTCATTGGATCGCAGCGTCCCAATCTTCCTTGGTCGACCACCAACGCAAACAGATCTCCTTCCAGATCCATGTAAGATTTTGCCGAGAGTTTTTCTTCTTTTAAAAAAAAAAAAAAAAAAAAAAAAAACCTTTCCTGATTTTGCAACCTTTCCAAAGCCTCATCCTTTCCCTTCTTAACCTCCTCGACTTAATCAAGGTCGAGGAGCGTAAGGGCGAGATGGATGATTTGGAGGCCAGGCTTAGGTCTCTCGTTGATGAGGCCAAAAAGAATAGGGATGATGCCGTCGAGGAGAGGGATGTGGCCATGGCCAAACTGACAAGCTTGGAAGGCGACTTGACCGAACTGAAGGCCAAAGTTAAAGACCTCACTCAGCGGGCAGACTTGTCTGAGAAGAAGTTATCCGATGCGACCGTGGCGGCCGAGAGGCGCTTTACCGAGGGAAAGGCCGAAGGGAAGAAGGAGGCCGAGGCTGAGGCTGCCGCAATCTTCGACGCTAAGCGGACGGAGATTATTGAGGAGTTCAAGACTTCTCAGGAGCTCCTGGATATTCGCAACAAGGATTTCCAGTCGGCGGGTCAGCAAATTGTTGACCTAATCAAGAAGGAGCGTCCTGATTGGGACTTAGGCTTCCTTTATAACTCTCCTACTCCCGTGGGCGACGACGGAGTGTCCCCTCCCGGTGGTGATGAAGGGAATGCTTCTTCCTTGGGTGGCGGCGAGGAGCCAGTGACTGGTGGTGACGCTTAGAGATCCTCACTTTGCTTTTCCCTTTTTCTATTTTCTTTTGGGAATCTTTGTAATTTAATATCTGCTCCAGACAATTTTACTTGCATTTTTGTATATATAAAGACAACAGGTTTTGTTTCTACCTTGATTCGCGTTTGCCGCTTCTTAGAAAATTTCTTAGAATTTTTCTAAGTGTGTGTCCTTCTCCCTTTTTTTGTTTGAGGACTTAACGTCGATTTTTACCCCTTGGGGTCGTCGTCTTAGGAAATTTTTTTAGAATTTCATTAAGTGTTTGTCTTTCCTCCTTGGAGGATCTGACGTCGAATTTACTGTTGGTCTCCGGATCGAATCCGGATGCAGAAGCGTGGTGGTGCGGGGAAGGGCGGATCGTGTATAACAAAAATTTTCACAAAACCTTTGAGATACTCTATAGATTATATTAATTTATGCACGAATAAATTAATCTCATTAATTCATTTATTAAGAACTCAATCAGAAAAAAATACCTAGAAGCCGACTCGGATGATAACTTGAGTTCTTTGACCACGAATAATCCTTGCTCCAATCTTTGTGTTTAGAAAACCAATGTCTTCCACGTCAATTCCTAGAATCCACGAAGACGTGTGTGTGGGCACACATGAGACAAAACGGGTTACAATAAACACTCGAATTTCCACAAACACCATCGCATGCACGATGTGAAATTTTTGGAGAAAATTTTTTTTCCTTCCTTTCTCTCTTGAGAATTTCAGCCAGCCTTAACCCATTAGGGCTGAAAAATTGTTTCCTTCTTTCTATAGAGAAATTTCGGCCACCTCTAAAATTAGGGCAAAAATTAATTCCGAAAATTGTCTCAAAAATTGTCACCAAAAATTGTGTCCACAATTTTCTACTATTCTCTTATTTATAGAGTAGAAGTCAAACTTCTAGAAAGAATCCAATCTCTATCTCCAATTTGAATTTCGAACCAAAATTATCCTCTATCCCTTATCCCTTATGGCCGGCCATGCTAGGGATTCCTATCCCTGTGTGTGGCACCAATACTGGATAGGGAAGGAAGAGAAAATCATCCTTTATCCTGTAGTCCAATTTT